CAGGATGCTCACTGAGCACCAGCACTCCAAGGGAGCACTTCCAGGCCATCTGTCCTTGAACTTGTCCATTTAGCTCCTGACCTCACCACACACTTTACATATGTGACCTGGCTTGGATTTCCAATGGGAAGGTTAGGTTAGGTTCGGTGTCAACAATTTTGACATGGAGAAATTGAGGCCCGGAGAGGTTGGTTGAACTCCCTGAAGGCCGTGACCAGGAAGTAGAGGGGAAGATGCTGACCCAAAGCTCTGTCTGTGCCTCCATCTCCCAGCCCTGGCAGAACTTGACAAGTTACCCGTCTGCTTCACCTCTCCACTCCAAACCTCTGCCCGGCCAGCTGCAGTGATTGTTAGATCACTGGGAGGTCGTGAGGAGAACGGGGAAACTGGAAGACCACGGGTAGACTTGGGGGAAACTGCAAGAACAAGGATGGCCTTCCATGGAGTGAGGATTCATGGGAATTCTTACCACGGACACAACCATGGCCTGCATGTGCATCTCAAGTTCGAGTGTCTCACCATGGATCAGGGTGTAGGAGGTGAGTAGGTCATGTGGGCGGATCTCTGTAAATGGGATTGGCGTTTTTTATAGAAGTACCCTACTGCTTCCTTGCTCTACAGCAGGAAGGTACTACATGTGAGGACTTGGTTCTTGGGCAGGCTTGGTGCTTTGAACTCAAACTTCACAGCTGCCAGAACTGTGTTATTTTAAGCCATTTGTGTATTTTTCTGATGGCATCCTGAGTAGACTAAGACGGGGACCCTGGGGTCTTGGAACAGACAGCGCCAGGAAGAGATTTCCTATTCAGTGGTAGCAATCACATCCACCCGCAGAAGGCCAAGTGTGTCAGAGGAGCTCGTATCTACAAAGCATGTAGTAGGTGTCCACTCAATGGTGCTCCCAACACTGATAATCTCCAGACAGGGGCAGTATAATCCAAAAGGAGGAGCATGGATGGAAACCATACTTCCTTGGCCTTGGATCCTGGCTGAACTAGCTGTGTGTGACCCTCAACAAATTACAAAGACAAATAAATACATAAACCATTCTTCATGCCGCAGTTTCTTTCTATGTGACACATGAAACACGCCTGCCTCGTGTGGTTACTGTGAAGATGAGGTAGATTCTCGGGTCTGTGAAGCGGAGATGGCATGGTCATCACTGCCGGGCAACTTGGCTAATTAAGGCCTGCCATCAGTCATTGGTCACTGGGAGGGCTTTGCCTTTCCCCAACACAAAGGGAGATGGCAGTGACAAAGAGCTCCTCCATTGGCTTAGGGCTGACCAGACCTCCCGAAGCTTCCCTGGTCTTGAGGCAACCTCCTTCTCTGGCCTGATTGCTCTGTCCTTCCTTAGCTGCCATGCTTGGGCAAGTTACTTAATCTCTCTAAGCCTCAATGTCTGCATCTACGAAGGAGTTCCCAATACTTTTCGTGCTGGGAGACCTCAACCATAAACCCAGACATGCTATGGCCTTGTCTACAGGGAGTATGTAGCTAGCCACGGAGGCCGTGGTGTGGGAACGAGGATGGGGTATAGTCTTTGACTTCGGCCTCCAAGTTCTGGAGCTTCTGGGCCCTTCCTCCTGTGAGAATCAGACAAGGCCAGACTGTGGACAGGGGTGAGCTGATGAGCGAAGATATTCTAAAGAGAAAGACACCTCTGCTCTTTCTTCGGCTATCAGAATAATGAAACAAAGGTCTCTAGGGAGTTGAAGTTTCCCCAGAAATCTCATGCTAGTGGAAGGGAAGGGTTGAGGCCTGGTCTCTCAGGGAGTGTTCACGGGTATGACAACTTAGACTGCCTTAGCGGACAGAGCTAGACAATAATGATCAATGGTTTTCATCCTTAGCTTTAGATGTAGGAGTCTCTTGCTCTCCTGACTGAGTTAGTGGGGCATGCACATAATGTTTAAACTTAAACTTCACATCAGGACTCCCCAAAGATGGCTTTGGGGCTCACTGGGTCTCTGTGTTCCTCTTTCTAGTATGGTCACATGGACTAAATTTCTGCACTTGTCTCTCTAGTTGCCCTATTGAGGACAGGTGGCCAAGCCTAGCTTGTTAGAGCTGCCAAGGCCCAGGTTTTGATCCCCAAAACACAATGCTGCGTGTGACCTGGTAGTCTCAGACACAGCCAAGGGGCTGCTCCAATGTCACCTGCTCCTCAAAGGTGGGGCTTAGCATTACTGGATGTGAAAGCAGCTTCCAGTCGGGAAAGAGAGACTGGAGGAGGATCTGAGCTGCCTCAGAAACCCTGCTCCTAGATGCTTTTACTGAATCCCAGTACCCCTTCCTTCCTTTGGGCAAAGGCTTTAAAATGGGAAATGGCTGAGGCCCTATCTGTCTCTCCATCTAGCTGGACAGTTCCTGAAGAAAGGGCCCTCTCAAAGAAAAAAACGGACTGTCTGGGGCTGAGAAGAGCCTGGGGCTCCCACTGAAGCTGAGTATGAGCTCTGGGAACTGTTATTTGGGACCCTTCCTGGGTACCCTCTGTTCACATCCTGTCTGAGCTAGGCCTTGGACAGCTGGGTGAGAACAGTCTCCCAAGTCCTTAGAGAAGTCACTGATACTTGTTGGGTTCTCCAAACTCTTCTGCTGTCAGATTCCTCTAAGGTCAGCTTACACAGGCCCAGATCAGGGTGTGTTTCGCCCCACCTCAGCTCCAACTGCCACTTGAGGCTGGTCCTCAAGCCAAGAACATGCTCCACCTTCCCCTGACTCCAGAAGGCAGTGTGTTACTCACGCTGCACTAGCCCCAACTGCAGCTGTGCTCCACACAGACCCCGTGGCTTATACATCGTGTGATGTGCCTCAGCACCGGCGTGCACTCCACAGGTTCCCTGTTGGGTCCCGAGCCCTGACCTCCATTGATCCTTTGGCTTCCCCTCCAGCCATCCCCGCCAGCTCGTGTCGGATAGGGTCCTGGGAAACAAGCAGAGGCCAAGAGGCACTCAGAGCTTTCTTACCTAACTGAAATCTTAGATGAGCAGGGTATGGCGGCACACTCCTGTACCCTCAGAACTTGGCACTTTGGATACAGAGACAGATGATGGAGAGTTCAAGACCAGCCTGTGCTTAAACACAAAAAAGAATCGAAAACCTTCGTGGAATTACAAGGATGTGGATCGGCTAGACTTGGTGAAATGTGGTTAAATCCACCAATGGAAACAAGGCCTAGGCACTCTAACCTGCTTGGATCTTACTGGTGAATGCCAACCCTGTGCACCTTCCCCCAGGGACATCCCTTAAAGCCCCTCCAATATCCCTTCAGTCACTCTGGGCAGATAAAAACCCCAAGAGGCAAGAAGCAAGGCCTTGGTGTCATGGGCAGTGCTCAGTTACTGAGATTGCCTGCGGCTGGAGGAGTAAGCTATTTTAGAACGTGGGGCTTCCCCCTGTTAGTCAGGGTCAAGAGCAGAGAGGCAGGGAGCTCAGACGCTTGCAGAGGGAGCCAGCCAGAGAGATGGACTCTTCCTCTGAGGCCACAAGGCTGCCTCTGCTCCTGTTACTTCCTCACAGCTCCCTCTGCCTGGGTTTCCTGGTCCCTGTCTCAATGGTCCAGCATCCCATCACCCCCTTCCTCTTTAATGTGAGCATTTGCCCCATCCCTTCCAGCTTCTGATGACCAAAAAAAAAAAAAAAAAAAAAAAAAAAACTAGGCACACTTGTTCTCAGCCCACAGATCCATCCAGGGACAGACACAGGTTGGACTTGGGTCACCCGAGATGACTATTTATAAACTCCCCAATAAGCATAATCCACTCTGGTCAACTGACTACACAGATACTCCACGTGACTGGTTACTCTAAGGCTAAGGAAACCTCAGACCCACAGGGCAAAACTGAACACTTCCGGTGTGACCCTGAACTGACGAACAGGCCGACCATCCTCCTCCCAAGCCTTTCTTTATTCTTTCTGAATTTGTTTTTATTTTTTATCCTTTGATTTCTTCTACCTCTGTTACCCTCTGTCATTCCTCTTCCAACCCAACCGGCCCCTTCCCCTACCTTCATGCCTCAAACTTCCTACGTGCTTGTCTTTTTGGTTTGGTTTGTTTTCGGGTGAGCCCCAGGGTTTAGACTGGATTTGAACTGAATTGCCCTTGTGGGTGTACGTAGATTAGAATTCTACTTAGCTCTGGGAGGACTGCTGGGCAGTCAGCAACCTTTTTCTGTAAAAGATCACACAGTTGATTTCAGTTTTTCTCGCTGCACGGTCTGGGCAGGTGTGTAAAAGCTGCCTGGCTGTATGCAAATGAATCTACTGGGCAGGGTGCCGACAAAGCTTTATTTACAAATCCAGGCTCCCAGTCACGGGGCATTCAATCACCACTGTTTCCAAATGCTGGCAAAGCAGACGCCCCGTTTAACATGCACAGACGATTCCTGTATTTGGGGAGGCATTTTAAAGGCTAAATAATATTTCTTAATTCTATTAAATTCTCATATTTTTATATTCAAAAGTGTTCTCATCACTTACCAATTCTTCTCCATCAGGGGGGAAAAAAGGATGGCTTTCCACTGGACAAGCCTGACTGTAGGGAGTCTGGTTGGGCTCCCTGGGGTGCATGAGGACAGGCAGTCCGCTGAGGGCTTTGTGTTGGAGTTCCACGGGCTTTCAAAGCCCTTAAGTCAGAAGGCCAGAAAGTGCCCCACAGCCAGTGCCTCTTTCTGTTGTAGCTGGGAGTGACAAAGGAGCCGTCTCCTTCAACTCTGCTCTAAAACCCGGTCCCATGCAGCAATGCAAGGATCAGACATGTTCACCCTGCCACGTGGGAGCCGGGACAAAGTCACACATACACACTCTAAGTCTTATGTTACACAGAGCACACTCAGCCCCGACGGCCCAAGCCCTTGGTGTGCTCTTACCCCGTAGACGCCATCCTACACACCTCAACACTTACAGCTCCCCCCGGGCCCCAGAGCAGACACCCCGTCTCCTGTCAGCTTGAGACTCCCTGGACTGAGCCAAGGAGCGAGCAAGTGTGCAGACAGTACCTTCCTCCTCCACGTGCGTCCCCGCTGCCGGCTTCACAGACCTTCCCGGGTTCTGGAGGGTATCCGGCTCTGCCTAGTTGCCCCAACGTCTTCCCCTTTAGCCAGGCTGCCCAGAGAGGAGAGGAAAGAGGATTCAAAACCCAGACTGCCTGCGTGTCACACCGAGTTACCCACTTGAGCAAAATCAGTGGCCAGAAGCTGCCAGACGCAGAAGGCCCAGAAGCTTACCCAAGCAGAGACTGGCCTGGGGAAACTTGGTGGGGAAGAGGCACACAGTCCGCTGCTCTGCAACACCCGTGTGGTGTCAAGTAACAGTCAGATTAAACAAGCAGCCTCAGAGGCTATTTTTACATCCAGATCAGCCACGAGTAATAGATAACTTGGGGAGTGAAAATTGTTTGCCGATTAGCTGGACCCTCACCACGCTTCCAGCTCTAGTCCAGGATGAGTTCTGAAGCTACCCCAGAACCCAGATTCAAATAAAAATGTCTCAAGGTGGGAAGGAAAGCATTTCTCTCAAGAAATGCTAAGAACATGATAGTGTGTGTCTTGGAGCCAGCGACGGTGGCCTGCTGATGTCCCAGAGCAGAAATAGCCCGTTTCATCATCGGCGCTGACAACCACGGCCTGCATTCCTCGAGTAAGGAACCATCCTCTGCTATGCTTTTGGAGCAAAATAATCTGGCCAGCCGCAGACTGGGGAAAGGCTGGGCTGGGTTTCAAGGGGAGAGGTTCAGAAGTGCGTGAAATAATCAGGGAAGATGCAAGGTAAGTGTCCACTCGGCAACTTGGCCCTGGGGTTTGCAAAATCTGGGCACCCAAGGCCAATCTTTTCTGTCAGCCCAGGGCTCTCCTCCCCTTCTCTGGGAAGGGCCCCCACCCTAAAGTCCCAAGATGAGTTCACATCTTCCCTCTCTATGACTGCATCCTAGATTGGCCTAGGGTCATCTGCCCTACCCCTAAATGGCCTTCTTCCTCTCAGCCCAGGCTGTACTAGATCCTGGGCCTCCTCACTCTCCCCTTCTGTGTCCTGTGAAAGCTCACTTAACTGCCAAGGTTCAACGCAAGAATTTCTTCTCTTTTGCATAAAGCCCCCCTTTTAGGTTCCCTTGGTCTGTGGCCTGGGGATTCAAATTGTACGGCCCTGCCAGAGAGCTGGCTTCCTACAGAGCTCAATGCCTTGGGGAGCCCTGCACAGAACTATACCTCTGGATCTATTTGTGGACTGCCCATCCTGATTCTGTGGGCACCTCAAGGGCAGCCACTCTGCCCCAGCCTTGAACCCTAGTCTGTGACCATGAGGTCCTCTTGGCGCTGGACGAGGCTGTGCTTTTCCTGGTTCAGCATTTAGACATGGTTTGAAGAAGACTCAAAATGAACGTTTCAATGTTATCCCTCCCACCAAAGACAAATAACTTGAAATGAGAGTGAAAACATTATGCAGGCCCCAGGGAGCCCTGTTCCCATTAATTCCTAGCTTTCTGACACCAGCCAAACCACTCTTCCTTGCTGACCCTCAGTTCATTTACTTCTAAACTGGGAAGAGTACCCATTGCTCTGTGGGGTTAAAGGTCAATGGAGTGACTATATATATATATATATATACATATACATATACATATATATGTACATATATATGATCATATTGTCAAGTTTCCCAAATCTAGTCATTTATTTATTATTTTTACACAATTTTTGTGACATCTTGAGCCATCTGACTTATCATTTACTAGTTTCCTTTAAATAAAACTTAAGCCAACTTACTTTTTTTTAAAAAAATAGCTCTTCCTATTAAACAATATCCAAGAAATCACAGAGCTGGTATTTTAGTGATTGTTTTCCCCTGTGACACATGTAAATGAAGTCACCATCAGTTCCATGCCATCTGTGTGTGGCCAGCATCACTTTGTCCCAACTCTAGGCAGCCCTGCATCACTAAGCCTCATTGTCGGTGGAATTTGCTTTGGGTGAGTAACAGGAGCTGGACAGTTCAGCGGGGCTTCTGATTTCCTAACTCTCTTCACCGTCCTCCTCCATGTCGTTCTTCCCAGCTTCCCCTTAATGCCTCACAGGTGGCAAGCATGACCTCATGTCTGGTTTGGGATCACAGAACGGCGATCTGTGTTCCGAGGCAAGAGCTGATACTGTTTGTTTGAAGTGGCTGACTGACGAGAGACCAGGGGGATCTTCAGGGGGCCGGGGAGTAGCAGGCAGCTTTGTCAACAGCGGTGGGAGAGCAATAAGCACCCGCCTGGCAGGAGCCTCGGAGCAAGCTACCCAGACCACAGCACCCCAGAATCCGGTTGCCCCAGAAAAGGCTTCCACCTTCCACAAGCCACGGATCCCACATCTGCATTAGGTACCATGGGCACACTGACACAGACCACCCCCAGCAAAGACGACAGTTGGGCTTTGGATCAGGAACGCAGGATCTGCAGATTCCAGAGCCGGCATGGTTCCTGGGGTCTGGCCAAGCAGAAGTGACCACTGTCTTCCAGCCCGGAGCCATGAGCTGCATGGAAAGAATGTGAATGAAGACACGATTCTAAATGTGGACTCATGGGTGCCATGTGAGCCACAGTGCTCTGAATGGTCTAGAAAAACAAGGCCCGTTTGTCCGCTCAGCAGGAACATAAATAAAGCTGTCCTCAGGCAGTGTGTTACCGTGTCCCATCCCTGCAATGACAGCTCTCAGCAGGCCTCTGGAACATAGCAGGGCAGAGTGCCTGCTTAATGGCAGGAGCAAAAATGGCCGGGCTGTGGCCTTGATGCGTATGGTGATCGCTAGCTTCATTTTACACCAGCTTTAATCTGTGCTACGTCTGTATAACCAAACGAGTTAAAAAGCGGGGAGCGAGGGCAGTGCGCAACGGCTCCTTAGCTGGTTTCTGACTCTGGTTGTTTTGAAGCTCAAATCCCTGCAAAGATCATGAGGTAACTCACCTGATTCTTCCACCCTTGTGACCCGGACATAGGTGACATTGCTTTGCCAGCACCAAGATGCCATTGGGAGTCATTTTTGTCAACATCTTTGGGAGCCTGGTGCACCTTCTTTGCTTGGCAATAAGACAAAAAGGCCAGCCGGAACACGCAGAGCACTTCCTCTGTGCCCTGTCATTAACTGCCCTTACACTAGTGAGCCTACTAGCCTTTCATTCCACTTCAATGAGTTGCTCTCTACCCCAGAGCTTCAGGAGGAGGAGATAAGTAGGCTCACAAGGTTAAGGTCTGCCTGGGCTACAGAATGAGTTCAAGTCTAGCTTAGGCAACTTAGTGAGATGCTGTCTCAAAACTAAAAACAAGCAAACAAATAAACAAAAACCCACAAAAAATGCTGTACCTAGGATGTATGAGGCCCTAGATCCAACCCCTAGCACAGGAGCAGGGGCTACATACACTAAACAGCAGGGATAGGAGGCTCAAAATGTGAGCCTCTGTGGTGCATTCAGATCTAGACTGTAACAGTCTATCAGGACATAGGGTCTGTGTGTATGTAAGGGGATGTTATCTGCTTATTAGTTCAGTGACTCGCTAAACTCAAGAAGAGTGCTCTATTAGTGACTCAGTCTGGAAACAAGAGACCCATGTGGCTGGAGACACTTCCATGTGACTGGGGACATTTCCATGTGACTGGGGACATGTCTATGTGGCTGGGGACATGTCTATGTGGCTGGGGACACGTCTATGTGGCTGGGGACATGTCTATGTGGCTGGGGACACGTCTATGTGGCTGGGGACACGTCTATGTGGCTGGGGACATGTCTATGTGGCTGGGGACATGTCTATGTGGCTGGGGACACGTCTATGTGGCTGGGGACATGTCTATGTGGCTCGGGACATGTCTATGTGGCTGGGGACATATCTATGTGGCTGGGGACACTTCCATGTGGCTGGGGACACTTCCATGTGACTGGGGACACTTCCATGTGGCTGGGGACACTTCCATGTGACTGGGGACACTTCTATGTGACTGGGGACACTTCTTTGTGACTGGGGACACTTCCATGTGACTGGGGACACTTCCATGTGACTGGGGACATGTCTATGTGGCTGGGGACACGTCTATGTGGCTGGGGACACGTCTATGTGGCTGGGGACACGTCTATGTGGCTGAGGACACGTCTATGTGGCTGGGGACATGTCTATGTGGCTGGGGACACGTCTATGTGGCTGGGGACATGTCTATGTGGCTGGGGACACGTCTATGTGCCTGGGGACACGTCTATGTGGCTGGGGACATGTCTATGTGGCTGGGGACATGTCTATGTGGCTGGGGACACTTCCATGTGACTGGGGACACTTCCATGTGGCTGGGGACACTTCCATGTGGCTGGGGACACTTCCATGTGACTGGGGACACTTCCATGTGGCTGGGGACACTTCTGTGTAGCTGCTGTTTTTCCTGTCTGGACACAGTTGGGGCTTGTCATCATTGATGGTGGGGCATCCTGGCTTGAGGGAAAGACAGCTTCCCTGAGGGTTAACCTCCAGGGTTTCTTGGTAAAGACTTCACAATGAAAGTTTGTGAAATGTGTGTGTATGTCATATAGGCATGTCAGTCATGCCCTGTACTGATCATGTGTTGGGATGATAGTGTAGATGATCTACAACTTCCAGGGCCCCTGCTTGGGATTTTCCACTTAATATCTGCGATAACGAGGCACGTATCTGATGGTCAGCCTCACAGTACGAATGCTGATCTTTTCCAGGCTGGTAGTATCTGGTCTCATAATTCTGGAGGTTCTGGGCAGGGACCAGAAGCTGTGCCTCTCAGCCAGTCATGAAAGGAGCAACCCGCATGACAATGTCCTGCTAAGCTTGCTCTTTTGCATCTGATGAATTTCCAACTTACCACATGTTTGTTGGGCCCTGACTTCATTGTAAGTTGGGGAGCATCATACTTTGGATACTGCATGCTTAAAAAACATTATCATTGGGTTTTGTTTCCATGCAGCCAGTACAAACCTGATCCCACAGCATCCGAGGCTGCCTGCACAAGACTGGACCTGACAACAGTCAATCATGGGAAAGGAGGGTTCATGGGGCTCTATTCCTCTCTGCTGAACTACTTGCTACTGACAGATTCTGGGAGGGGAGCAGCCCCTGTCTTCAGCTGGTACCCATGGCTGGGTCAGGCTTGAGTGGGCAGCTCCAACCCCGTGACCATACAGCTGACTTTGGTAAAGCTCTGTGAATTTGAAACAAAGACATAACTGAGGGAAAGGGACCTGTAGGGAAGAGGAGGTGGAGTGCAATAGGGGTGGGGGAGATAAGGCGGGGCCAAGGTAACAATACCCAGAATGCACTATGGACGTGCATGTAACTGTCAAACAGTAACTTTAATAAAAGTCATTCAAAAATTGCTTTTGCGCTTTTTTTTTCCACTTGTTAGGCTCATGGAAGGTTTCAGATGACCCTTGTGACTTGCACTGTATTTGTGTTGCACAGTGTTTGGCCAGCTGGTCTCTGGGTCACAGACTTTCAAC